ATAAACAATCACTTGATTTTCTCAGTTGTTTTTTGAAGGTGTATTTGTGCTTGTTTGTTATTTTTTAATACACCGACTATGCTAATCAAAAAAAGAAATCTGAGGTGGTCATAAATATAAAATAGAAATATCATACCAAATTCTGAAAATTAAAAATTATATGTATGTAAAAAGGGTCCCACTTAATCTTTACAGAGAATTATTTTGAGACGCCGTTTAAAATGAATACAAATATTGGAATATGTGTATTCCGTTTTTTTTTTTTTGTTTTGTTTTGTTTTGTTTTTTTGAAAATCATTATTTATTTATTTATTTATGTCTGTTATTTACAAGTGCTTCTAAACCAACAGATCACCGCTATCATTAAATACAATGCCAATATTTGATATCATCACAATAGGTGTTTAGAAACACTCAATATGCATTGCATATTATGGATAGAGGGTTCGTACGGTTGGAAATTTGTGGTTAAAAACGAAAATCGAGTATTTAGCTTGTTTAGAATCTAGATATCCTTTTGACAACTAGTATTAACATGTATTCGATCAATATTGAGATACTCCGCAAAAGAATCATTTGTAGATGACTCTCTAGATGTTTTCTCTTCATATGTAGTAGATTCTAATGTTCCTACATAAAGATATGGAATGGACACGCCTAAACTGTTATTATGATATTAACATGCATTGAGCCCTCTACCTAAATTGTGAAATTCATGGCCCCTGGGTCCTTGTGTTAGGTTGGAGCTCTATTGAATATATAGAGAAAATGCATTAATTCTTTGAAAATCTTCTCCTCTGCCCCTGGGTATTAAGCAGATAAACTATGTACATAGCTATGATAAGAAAGCGTGCATATTGCCAAATTGTGAATTTCATTGCCCCTGAATCAAGGAGTCTGGTGTAAGGATGGGGCTCCATTGATTATATTGTGAAAATACATTAATTCTTTGAAAATCTTTTCCTCTGGTCATGAGTTTTATAAAAATGATCCAAGTACACAGTTATGATGATGAAAGGTGCCTCTTCCAAGTAATAAATTTCATGGCCCACGAGTCAGCAGTACCATTAGGGGGCTGTAATAATTATATACTCAAATGAATTAATGCTTTTGAAATCTGCTCTTTGGTATCAACCATTGATGATGAGCAGAAGCGCCTTTTTCGAAAATTGTTAAAATATGTGGCTCCAGGGTCAGGGATTACTGGTTATCTAGTGAAAAAGCTGTGAATTTCTTGTGTGCCATGTTATATCAAAATGAGGCTAAAACTGAAGGAGGATTAGTATTTTGAAAGTATTTCACAGAAATTTCTTCTTTTAGTTACCACGGCAACAACGTTCAAAGACTCAAAAACCGATCACAGACTTATGTATCTTAGTGTAGTCTACTTGTGTGCCAAGTTATATTGAAATCAGACAAAACTGTAGGAGGAGTAGCATTTTGAAAAATTGTTAACAGACAGCTAGACAGCTTGAAGGACGGACGACGGACGCAATACTATCGCATAAGTTCTACTGGTCTCTGAACAGTAGAGCTAAAAAAAATAAGAGGCCCATGGGCCACAATGCTCACATGAGTGACTTGTCCCTGCTGTTCTTCACTTGATTTTCCTCTTATAATACCTATTGTGGCCCCGTCCTACCCTCAGGGGTAGGACATAATATAAATAATTTAGAATCATCTACACTACTCCATGATGCTTCCACACAAGTTTCAGCTTTCTCGCCCAGTGTTCTAGAGAAGAGGATCTTTCCTATACATATCAAAGTAAAATTTGGATTCCCTATTGGGGTCCAACCCTAACCTGGGGGTCCTGATTTGAATAATTAAAGATCTACACTGACCCACTTTGTTGCTCCCATTCTGTATTGTTTAATGGACTTTGAACTTGAATACTGTTCGTTATCTCTATAAATTTCATTCGAGAAAGGTTTAAGCTTTTCAGGCCCAGTGAATCTTGAAAAGATTTTTTTAAAAATTCTACACATATTTCAATGTAAAACTTGGATTCCCTATTGTGTCCCTACTCTATTCCGTTGGTCATGATTTGAACAATTTAAGAAATCTATATTACTTTAGGATGCTTTCATTTAAGTTTCGGCTTTTCTGGCCAAGTGGTTATTGAGAAGAAGCTTTTTCTTATATTTTTCAATGTAAAACTTAGATTCCCTATTGTGGCCCCGCCCTACCCCGGGCTCACGATTTGAACAAATAAGAATCTAAACTACCCAAGGATTCTTTCACATAAGTTTTAGCTTTACTAGCCCAGTGGTTCTTAAAAATGTTTTTTTAATGACCCACACTATTTTTTTTTATTTTCTCCTTAGAAAAGAAAATTGGTCCTTCATTTTAAAAATTTAATTTGACCTTTACACAAGGATGCTTTGTACCTAGTCTTGTTAAAATTAGACTAGCGGGTCTTAAGAAAGATGAAAAATGGAAAGTTTACTTGGAGACAGACGGATGGACGACGGACAACGGGTGAACAGAAAAGCTCACTTAAGCTTTTAGCTAAGGTGAATCAAAAAAGGAGGGTTCATTATACATGTACATAGAGAGAAGATGTGTTTCTGATATTTTTATATCCCCCACTTTTGAAGAACAGGGAATGTCTGTCTGTCTTGTAAAAATACATTTTACTTATTTGAACAATTTCTGAACTTTTCCGCTACGTTACAGATTAACACTAGTACTGTCACATATATTCCTGACAGTTTTCAGATTGATTATTTGACAAAGGAAAAAAACCTTTCTTGTTCCTGTCCAGGGTATCCCCCACTGGCTAGCACCACTCCCGCTGTATACAGGTCAGGGGTAAACTGCGGGGGTTATCGGTGAGTTTTCCCTCCACACAGGCTTGACATATTTCATACAGGTCAGACTCCAGTATAGGCAGGATCGACTGAAAATATACAGAAGTAAGAATTATAAAGAAATGATGGAATGCATGAAAATATAATCTAGTCTGAATCATAAGACTACTTCAGAATGGCCTAACAATATACAAAAGTCAAATACATAAGGAATGTTTCGAATAAAGGTGGAATTATCAAATTAAAGTAAATGGAATTGAAACTAGAAAGTTTGCTATTGCAAGCGTCCTGAACTGGACAATACTTTTATTTTTTCATCACTAAAACAATACCTATTGGACAACCATCAACTCGTATGAGTACTTTCAGTACTTTGATTTAAAAATCAAAGTTAAAGAATTTTCGCTTTTCCCCTGTTTCAATAGAAACTATTGACAATTTTCAATTTTTAAATCCAATGAGCACAATTACAGATACTAATCATTACATCAATAAAATTTCATGAAGAATGTTCAAGGGACAAGAGAGAACACTCGCAGTTAAAATCCGTTGCAGGTTTCGATGGCAACGGTAGCCATTTCGAAACTGATGACCACACAACACAACTACAACCAGTGATCCTCCTTTGAGAAAAATTGCAGGAATATTGTCCCAGCCATCTGCGAGAAACAGCTACGTATAACAAAAACATGCGTACATCGCAATATATCGTCCCCGACTTCGTTCGGGACGATATCATAAGCAATAGTCAAAATTGAATTAAACGAAGAGCAAGGTACGGTTTGGGCTTTATTGTATCCTAAAATTTTCATGTTCTTAAAAAGTTATGAAATTGGCTTTTATAGTTGAATAGATAAATGTGATAAATTATGAAAGAATATGGCATGAAGGAGGATCTTTCTAGAAATATGACGTCACTTATTCGGTACATTTCTAAGTTTAATGTAGAAAAGCCTAATAATGACTCATAGCTGCACTTATTTTCCTTCAGATGATAGTGTCGTCCACCATCGTTCGCTTCAATTTTTAGATAAATTATTTAAACTGCTTTGAAAAATCACATATCTAAAAATCTTTGTGGGAGACGGTGGCAGAGCATGTTCTCTGAAAGAAAATTCCACGGAAAATTGATGTCTTCTGTAACTTTTTAAGAAAATACGGGAAAATGCACAAGTGAATAACGTCACAAATAGCATTTTGGAGGTAATACGAGAAAAAACGATGTATATATTCTTACTGCATGGAATTCCTCTGATTTAGAAAGAATGAATTTTAATTTTTTACATAACTTTCATATTATTGAAAAATACAGGTTTTAATGTGTATTGAAAGTGTACATTGTTCTTAATTTAGTACTCATCTGAATTTTAAACTTTATATTTTTTTATTTAAAAAGTGTAAAAAAAAAATAATAATAAAATAAAATAAGAATTGATCATGATACCTTCCACGTCAATTTTATTGTCAATATAAAGCCCTCCCCTCTCCCCTCTCCGTCTCATAAATATATTATTTATTTGTTTTAATTTTTTTTTTGGGGGGGGGGGGGGGAGATATTTGCCGCCTTCAGAACCAATGATTTAAGTTTAAGGTCAGATGACACGTTCCTCAAAAATATATAAATTTTCCTAAGAGTTTGTTAATGAAGTATAGCTACTTAAACAAGTTTCCTCACAAAAAATTAGGGTACCTTACCAGGCATTTGGCCAAGATACCATAGGGTTATATTTCTTATATAACCCTTATGAGTAATCTTCTAAATGACATATAACACAATTTTTGGTGTACTTATATTTAAAAACATTTTGAAAACAATGTAGAAATCAGAAGAAAATGACAAATATGAAAAAATAATTATATCATACCAAGAGATACAAACATATATTTGAGTAACATGTCGTCTGACCTTAAGTGACATTATATTGTCTGAGCTTGAAGAGATTAAAGGAAAATACTGGGTATTTTTAGTAAGTCAATAAACATTTTTTTTACATTTTGGATAATTCCATTTGTTCTAAAAGAACACAAATAGACTGGTATTTCCTGTCTCTATCGTACGAATTTCGCGTATCAGGCAGGCAGGCCAGTCTAAGGACACAAATAGTCATGATATTTCCTGGTTTTTTTTCGTACAATTTATTTAATAGCAACCGGTAAAGTGTAACCTTCATATCTTAGTCTTTAGAAATGGACTCCATTAGCACTTCACAAATGTAAGTTTTAATGACAGTTGTATTATTAAAACATCTACAATTTTTTTAATATTGTGCTGCTTTGATTAACTGTGTATACAATATAAGCATATTTTTTATACTCTAGTTTGTTCTATGTAAATACAATATAAGCTGAGAATAGAGCATGCAAGTATATATATGTAAAACGTATTTTAATCTGAAATGATTTTGAAAGCTGGGAGTAAAATATAAATAAACTTATCAATAACATATAATCCTCACATTTATATAAGCATTGGATGATCAACTAAAATGGCATAATATATGGTATATGTCATAAAATTTTCCTTTAATCACCATTAGAAAGACAGCCCTACAACATATGTCTGAGTCAGTGTTCATGGGACTTTGTGTTAAACTTGGGACCTCACAGGTGGTGGCCATAAGAAGAGACGCTATGGACATCAGTGAGATGCTTGAAAATCAAATAAGAACAAGTGATGACGTCAGTATGATGTGGAGTGGAAGTCTTAGAGAAGGATTCAGACAGGAAGAATCAGATGCAGACTTAATGTCGTGGCGAAATAATCACCGTGTGATCTGGGAATCATCTCAGTCTCAGTATTACAGCACACACAGACAAACACTGATCCTCTGTGACTCTTCTGATAGTCATCCAGGATACACTTTGTTGTCTTTACTGTCACCAAGCATATATCAAATAATCCAGACAGCTTGTATTAGAATAAATAACAGGGTTTATATCTCCAGTTCAGAATACAGAAAGACTCGTTGTTCTGCAAGTTTACCTGACTCCATTCCACATGGACCCTGTGCCAGTGGAATACTTGAAACAATAGAATATGATTTAGCCGACTGTTTCGTTTGTGACTTTTGGCCTCCATCTGCCTCCTCATGGATAGGCAGATGTCACTCATGGCCCCAGCCACATATTGTTGATGACATAGTAAATCAAAGTACTGAAAGTACTGAAAAGCGGTTAGCATGCTTTCATCTAATATGTACCGAAAAAGTGCATAAAATGATGATATTTAAGTATGCATATCTTTGTCCAATGTCATCAGAGAAGAAAAACCCAGACATTCTGTTTTTGTAATACTTTACTCAATAGTAAAACCAATAACATTTCAAACTGATGTCACAGATGGATGCAATCTAATTAAAATTAGATGTTCCGAATCCGCTACTGCTTCTCAAACATCTAACAACATCCTATTTGGGGTCATGTAAGAGTGAATCTTCGATTAGGCAAAGAAAATGGTTCCTCCGAAATCCTGGCTAATAGTTCAGATGGGTTTCTTGTTTTCACCACCCAACCAAAACACCCGAGGAGTTTTGTAGTAAAAAGATATGCATTGCAAAAGTTGTGTTATGTATGACGTGTTGGGTATCTTGTATAGTTTGTGCTCTTTCGTTTGCATTATTCACGTTTAGATGCCAGACTGCAGAAGATACATGAAATTTATTCCAAAATTACTTTAATTCAACGTAAGACAGTATCAATAATGATGATATGTAGCCGTGGTATTAATTTGAGAACTGTTTACCGAGGCTTGAATCTACATGGCCAAAGTGTTTGTGTTTACTTGTACATGTATTCATAATTGAAAGGTCGCTCTGATGTGACTCCGAATGGGATGTTAGATGTTTCAGAAGCGGTAGCGGATTTGGAACATTTAAATAAATTTTAATAAGATTGAACTGCATGTTTCAAAATTTAAACATGAGATTTCTTCAGTTTGAAAGACAGGAAGTGCATTTTTAAAAATTCTCTCTTGATGGCATCCAATTGTTCTCTGGATAAAAAAAAAAATTATGTTGATGTTGAAAATTTCATTGTCTTTTATTCTCTATTGAATCTGAAATTAGGTAATTGTAAAGCCTACTATAACAAACAACTAAAAAAATGACAAGTTAAATTCTTTAGATTAATGGATTTGGAGTAGTGTAGATCTACAGCTGGCTAGTCGGAGAAAAAAGGATGGCTGAGGAGAGACTTTATAAATGAATTGATATCAGAGAGATTCAGTTGTGTAGGCTCATCTCGGCAATATAATTAACCTGTCAACGAGGGATGCTTACTTTTTCTAGGCAACGGATCCCAGCTCTTGAACTTTCAGGAGTCAGCTTTTCTTCTAAAATCGATCATTGATCATTCTGTATTTTGATACAGATACTGAATACTTCCTTTAGTAATATTATAAACTACTACTTCTACGGGAAGACTGGCGAGTAAACAAGATTATCAAGCTTTATGAAATATATTTTATTGACTTTTCAAACAAGTTAATGTTCGAATAAAGTAAATGGTATATGAGAATCATTTGAAAGAAGTCTTGCACAATATAAGGCACAATATCTAGATAAGGACATATAAGGTGTTTTTATCATATACTCTTCATGCAATATTGTTCTCAAATAAAACATGAAAAGGAAAGTTGTGTAATCAATCAATACTAGTATTTAAAAATTCAAATGTACATTAAAAATCAGTGTAACTTAAGAAGTTATCAGTGTCACTTTCTTCAATATGTCGGTTAAACAATATACACTGATTTCTTTTCTATCAATGTGCCTCTAAACACCTGTATTTTAATTTTATTCTTCTCAAACGTTTAAAACAATAATCGACAAATTGGACAAATTCAAATTTTAAAAGTATTTTCACAGCTAATAATACGTTCCCTAGGAATTGATCAAATTTTCAAAACTTATAAGTAAGCATTAAGTATATATTTGAAATTTTTGCTAATTGCCAAAATTTTTCATACCTCATTCTTCTGTGAAAATAATATCGGTTGATTTTTAGAAGAGGATCACAATGCTGATTAAAATTAATATATATTTCTCCATTTTTTTTTTTTCAAAATTGATTTTACTACTTTAAGTGCTCCATTATTTTTTACAAAACTAATAGTAAGTAATCCCTTATGATCGATTGTTATAAATTATCAAAGACGGAGTAGAGAATTTATCCCTGGGAGCAGAGCTTTTATAATCTGTTTATTAGACAGAGAAGAAAAGAGAAGAAAAACAAACGTTTCATAGTGGAGGTAACCCTATTGTTTCCATAAAACGTTACAAAAAGTGTAAAACTTACAGATGCGTTCGGTGCGTTTATAAAAGCGCTTTTCAGGTATCAACTTAATAAATGGTGTTTCTTAATACTTTGGCAAGGAAAATCAAACTCGATCGAGAGATTTGCTGAGTTTTTTGCAGTCTGTAATAACTTCCAACCTGCTGTATAATAAACTTTCAAAAATAAACTAACAGTTGCCAGAAATCGCGATCGCGCGATACACATGTAATAAGGACCAAATTCTCAGTTCGTAAAAGTAAGTGTTGTAAGTATTGTCAATGCTTTGGTAAATATACTAATAAGAATTCGATATAATCGTTATAATAGCCACTCTTCATACACAGCGCATATACTTCGTTAGTACGAAGTAATATAGTAGGGGCTGGCTTTAGTCAGACTTCACAGCATATTGTCAATCTCTAACCAGCGGGCGTATTACGCCGACAGTATACAAATCATTTGCTGAAGTTACCGTTGTCGATAGGTAGGTCCTTGTGGAAGTTTCCGGTTTTGGTTGCAGAAGGATAAGGTTACGAGCGATAAAGCGATGCCGATAGGTAGCGCCTTATGGAGGTTTCCGGTTGCCGACACATGCCATATAGCGGCTAGCGAAGCTAACCGCTTAAAAATGGATGTCACTTTGTACCAATAGGGCATACACTAGGACATCATGTGCACAATGAATGAAGAATATCTTTCTCTCTTGCAGAACATAAACTTATGTGTGCAATGAATCATTGTCAATTCTTAACTTACGGCCTGCTGAAATTGTTCTTAACAGAAATAATTAACAATAGAATTTGTGATGATGATAAATTACTGTGTTCCTATCACATGAAGACAGCAGTTTTCTGGGTGATTCAAAAGAATACGTTACAACCATGGTGTCCACAAAATCTCTTGGAGTGTTTCTGGGTTTGTTTTAAACTAGTTGTGAAGTGGGTGTATGATGGAGTCTGTCCTAACTTTTTCATTCCCCAAAATAACATGTTTCTTAGTAAAATCCATGGTGAAGCACAGCATAAGCTATTCATGAGTCTGTATGGGTTGTACAAGAAAGGTTTAGCATTCCTGCTACACAGTCCCTCCATTAGGTCTTGTATCATAAATGTCCTTCACAACCCAAGACTCTCCATTTGTACCGATGAACATACTTTGATTTCCGAGGCTGAGTTTGATACAGAGCTATTGAAGGAGATACACGAATATGGAAATGTTCCCACATGGAACATACACACCTGTATGACATTTCTACATAGAATAGAACAGATGATAATCTCACCTCTCCTAACACAGTATCAAGTTGTGATGCTACAGAAACTTACAGCTGAGGTCCTTCAGAGGACTGCTTTTATACTACACATGGAGATTTATTTAAGTGAAAATAAACAGAGGTATAGAATTGATAAAATCTCCTGTCACATGCTGAAATTAGCAGCCAAGTTTGGTTGCATTTCTGACATGTCATTCCTAGCCATGTATTATTACAAGACAAGTAGATACATGGAATCTTTATCTATTATAGAAATGATCAAGGTCAAAATTGCGCAGCCATATGTGATCTGTAGGTATGATATAGATGCAGAAATGTACATTGAGGCGGTAGGGGGACAGTCCTGGTCTACAAAGATGAGACAGGCTGTAGCTTGGCAAATTGAACTTGACAATCAAATCCATTACATCAGTGAATTAATACCATTACAAATGTCTCGTCTGCAGAACAGAATACCAATATTAGCTATACGTGTGCCACCATTTTTACTGATATCAGTGCTAGAGATCTTGTGCTACAGACATATAGACACAATAAAAGCACAAACAGCTCTAGATGATCTACAGACCCTTGTTCACTATCAACAGGCACAGTGTATAGATTATTATAACAGAGATTTATTAAAGCAGATTCTGGGGATCTGTCAATAGATGACAGGGAAATTTTATACTGCTCTATACTCATAATACTCGTACCAACAATCTCTCAGACAAACAGTTACAATAATGAGAACGCAGGAATTTGTCACAGATTACTGATGCATGACCTTTGTAATCCAAGTAGTGAAAGAACCGAAAAGCGGTTAGTATGCTTTCATCTAATACGTCCCAAAACTTGCATGGAATGATGATGCATACATATCTTTATCCAATGTCATCAGAGAAGAAAGAGACATTCTGAATTTTGTAATGCCTTACTAAATAGTGAAACCAATAACAGCCCATGCAGACTGATGTCACAGATGCATGTTTCAAAATATCAACATGATATTTCTTTAAATTGAAAGATAGGAAGTGCAATTTATTAAAATTTTTTCTCTTGGTAACATCCAAAAGTGCTCAAGGCGAAAAAAAAATTATGTTGATGACGCAAAAATTTAAATTTTTTAGGTTAATGGATTTGGAGTACTGTAATTTAAAAAAGTCTGAGAAAAAATGGATTAGCAGAGAATTTGTAAATGAATTGATTTCAGAGAGCTTCAGTTGAGTTGGCTCACTGCGGGTCAGCAGATGTGACCTGTCAACGGGGATGCTTACTTCTCCTTGGCACCGGAACTTCCAAGGGTCCGTTTTTCTTTTGAGATAGATCACTATTTATTCTGTATTTTGATACAGATACTGAATACTTCTGTTTATTTAAGTTTTAGAGATGTTTCTGAATGTAAAACAAATCCGAATGTGAAAATGAATAAGAAATTAATCTGAATCGAAGGTATTCCGATCCCGATTTAAAAATAGCCATATTAGAGAATATGATTGCTGATGTTTTGTCTTTGGTATATCAATCAATAACCTGCATACAATATTTATCCTTCAAAAAATAAGCCCATGATTTTAATTCTAGTATTATTATATGGATGTAACTAAGTGAAAAAAAAATCAAGTTTACTAGATTTATTTTTATTATCTATTTAATATTAAGGAGAGTTTTTAATTATAAGTTGTCAATGATTAATCAGAGAGAGGGGCGATGAAGGGGGGGGGGGGAGCATTTTAATAAATTCCCATAGGCATGTGTGATATATTTATGTTTGTGGGTTTTTGTAATTCTCTCCGACCAAATTACGAGGGTTACCTGTTTCCCAAGATGGGGGTGGGTGGGTGGGGGTTTTGAGAAAATCATAGTAGTTACGGGGGCGGGGGGGACGGGGGGGTGGCCCGCTCACTTTTTTCAGACAAAGTTTAACTATTGAAAGGCTGGTTTGCCAAAATTTTGGGTTGCAAGAAATTGGACGGCCATTGGTTTGTTGAAAAAAAATATCCGATATTATTTTCAATTACGTATAAATACGAGGGTCATTCAAAAAATACGTGGACAATGTTCCTCGTCGTCAAATTATTATTACAAGAAGAAGTAGATCAACACATTTTCGTAAATAAAAATATCTATTTTGTCGAAGTGTGAAGTTTCATTCCATTTGATCAAACAGAACTCATGTTAACCAATTTTAAAAGCAACATGTTTTGTTACCACGGAGCACGGTTAGCCAACATAGTGACGTAAAGACTAACGTCTAGAAAGTATTACTATAAGTATGTAACAATGTGAAAATATAAGAATCTATCAACTAAGATTCGATTTTTTTTCCATGTGGGCTAGGGAGTGTGTTTTAAATGCCTAAGGTGAAACAGGGATTTTGCTTAGGGGGATGAGGGGGGGATAATAATAAATAAATAATAAAAATTAAATATGCATGTGTGATAAACCTATCCATGTTTGTGGGTTTTTGTAATTCTCGTCGTCCAAATTACGATGGGTATGTGTTTCCCAAGGGAAGGGGTGGGGGGTTGAAGTTCATATTTGTTTGCTTTATAACATATAATTTAATGACTCAAAAGGGGGGGGGCTGCTTTGACACTTTTCTCTATTGATCGCTACTGATCAGCTTCTCAGTTTAAGACATCAAAATTAATTGTACATTTATGATACCAGGTCTGTAGGAACCGGGGGACACGAGAGGCAGTCCAGTCCTCCGCCCTTTTTATTGATTTTTGCATTATTATATACTTTATACATTATAATCCGATCAAAATTACAGTTTGTTCTTAATAAATAAACTTTGTAGAGTTTTAGCCACGTTATCAATTTTTTTTTCAGTTGTTCCAATACTGTAGTCACATTCTACAGATAATATACTACATACCTAAAGTAGTAATTAGTACCTTATCAATACATTCAAAATCTACCAGTTTTGTATTATTGTATTTTTAACTCATTAGATCTTCGTAACTAGTGAGAAATGTGTTCAATTGTTCAATGAAGACAGAAGGCAGGATAAACACATTGCGATGTAGGAGACAACTTGAAAGATTTTTTACTACACATTATAATTAGTTACGCAAATCAAGGAAATTTTTCGAGAAAGTAATGAAAGGAAGCGTTTAAAGTAGAAATTTGTTGATATCAATGTCAGTGACCTAAAACTTTGGACAAAATTGTGGCCTGCGAGAAAGTGCATTTACACAAAATAAGGCCAAGAACACGATTCTTGCGAGGAACAATTAATGTAAGGTAATGAAAAATACAGAAATAATAATTCACGAGCAGGTTTTCCCGTGAAGTGAAAGGGTACATGTTCTGTTATTCAGTCTCTACAGCTTAAACATTGATGCTGTGAAATCCTTTAATTTCTATTTACGAAGGAATTTTCGATATGTGATGGGGCCTGGATCCATACATGAATCCCATCAATGCATACAATTACAATGGGGAACCCTGCTAGCCTATAAAACCCTGTTTTGATGCAAGATTTTGTTGTTGCGTCGGGCCATTGAATAAAAGTGTCAGCTTTCGCAACCAGTGCTTCGGTGCCTCTCTTAATGGTTAGGGATACTGTGCTTTTGTCAAATCCTGTTCAAGTTTGAGGAATATGTATATTTTCTCTGTTTGGAAAGAAAATCTGTGTTTTACGTTTAACATGCGGTATATAACCATGAAATTTTGAAAACCCTGTGTGATTATTATTTATTTTAACTTTGAATTTCAACTTGAGTTTATTTTCAACAATTATGTAGTATTTGTTCTGTAGTCTTTTAATCGTATCTAGAATGTCTCCGACTACCTGCAAAAAGCTGCCACTTGCAAGGTAGCGCAAGGTAATCATAACTTGATGTTGGACGCTAAGAGCACATGCAGTTCCTATTGGCAACTCTTTCCAAACCATTTTTGATGACATCTCCATTAAAATTGATTCCATGGTTTACAAAGCTGCACATTCTTCTTAATTTATCATCAGACCAACTCTCTAAATTCGTATGAAGTCGTAAAACACGGAGTTTTCTGGGTCAAGGTAAGTGAATAAGAAAGTTGGCGGCCATATTTAATCTTGGTGTTAACATCTTAATCTACCTTCTTTAGGTGGATTAAACTTAACACATTATTTAACACCTTGTTAACAAAAAAACACCTTTGAACAACTCTACCATGTGGTTAGATTTAACACATTATCTAACACTGAAAAACAAAACACTGAGTTTAATCTAATCATGTTTCAAACAACCGGGTACAGATGGTCAATTGATTAATTTAATGTTTTACGTCCAACTGGCAATTGTTCAGTCATATATCGGATCAGATAGACCGAACATACTGTAATCAATGTAGTATAAAAACAAATGTTTGATTTTTACGGGATCCTTCACTATTCGCTTTTTTATCTTTGTAAACTCTGACTTTTCAAAAATCATAAATATATTATTTTTCCCATATTAGACTGATTTCAATTTGGAAAATATTGAAGTTGTAAATATGTATTAAACAAGGACATTCTTCATTTAAGATGAACGAACATACGTTTTATCCCCTAACCTATGTTTAACATTTTACATCCATGCTAAGTTTTTAGGAAAATTACAAAGTGCGAAGATAACAAACGATGATAATGCTCAAGTGTCTAATAAAACAGTACACACTGCAAGCAAATAGGATTTCAAATACAGGACTTGAGTATTTGTATACCGTTTGTATCTCTTATGATCTCGGAAGCGGATACAACAGATATATATGTAGTAGTACCTTCTTTATTATTTTCCTCAAGGTAAATAATGACCTTGAACTCGCCATCTGATTACAAAATGGAAAAGATAAATTAACTTTTAACTGCAGTGGACAATAGCAGTGGTTTGCACATTTTGAATTTCTGTCAAGCAAAGTAATAAAAATAAATTCATACCAGATTTCGTACATCCATTATTGAAAGAATTATTACAAGAAACGTATTCTGTAATTAAAGTTCCTCTAAACACTAAACAGGCAATTCTGAACAGAATTAAGAATTATGTTTACTAAATGCATATGTGCATAATTATATGAAAATGAAATGAATACATGTATGTTTTTATTCAGTACTATATTTATAGTTTTAATATGTACTTTCCACATCGCTTGACAAGCTGTCTCTTATTATATACTTTTGTTCTGGTGTAAGTTTAATCCTTATATCCTCAACGAATGAACTTCGCCCATTTTACTGTAAAGGACAAAACTGGCAATCTTTTTTATATCACATTCTTGAATAAAATGTAATGTAATTATATAATGTTCTTTATTATGTCATTCATTCGAGGAGAAGGTGTTGGTTGCGTTTAATTTTGATTTACCTGTCAGTGAACATGTTTGATTTTCCGATATTCTCAGAATTTGCAAAGTTATGACACCTTAAAAATATTCATAATTAAACATAATGTTTAACACATATTCTACTCCGTTTATTAATGAAATTTGGTTCTGAAATTAACATTTGTTGCTTTTATGTTTTATATCACACATAAAAAATGTTTCTTCAACTCTTTTATCAATAAAAAAAAAATGACAAACAAGGCCTCTTGATCGAAAATTTTCCAAAAAGTATACGTATCAGTATCATAATGAATATTATCAGTAAATTTATCAATAAATTTTGAAATCTTTGTCTTTTTGCCAAATTTTAGCT